CAGAAATTGAATTACATTCCACCCTCGTAACGTGAACTTGGGACGCTTGTGCTGACGTGAAAGAGAAAACGCCAGCAAGTTCAGCTGGGTATTGATGTTATGCTTCAGAAATGGGAACGCAAGCAATTTATCGGGCCTTTCAGTTGTCAATTTAATTCTGAAACCAGCAAAAGATACCACTTTTTATTATGAATTTGTCACGTATGTCATTTTTGTTGCTTTTAATGATGGGTACTACGTTTCATGTTAATGGTGTCACAACTTTAGTCAATGCAAGTAGTAGTCAAACACCTCGCTGTAACAAGGCGCCGATTAATCATAATTGTCATTGCACTGTAAATCAGGATTCTCGCGCCATAAATGAGTGAAGAAAATTTCCATACGGAGTTGAGTAGAATTACAATAACAACTATATCATATATATCCTAAGCTTTAATTTTAGTTATAGATACGAAATAAATCTTATCTGGACAATGCACACAGCTAATTCATCGATCAGTGTGTACAGCAAAGAAAAAACTGTCCGGATACTGGGCAGCTGACATCAATACTTAGTGAATGTGTCTGGCCTCTGTTAATCCAAACAAATCGAATTTCAAGAAGAATTAATAAACTTCCTGAGAACCTGACTTCTTTAAGTATCGTCACTTTAAATATAAAACAATTTCTTTGAAAATATCACATATTACCTACCCTTCTCTGAGCAGCACTAATTTTACTGCGCAGTAAACAGCATAAATATTAGCCTTGAAAAGTGTACTCACCTGGACAGAACGGCGCCTTCTGCGACTGTTTCGTAAGCTTTAAACCCGCCAAAACTTTCATCTTAAAGCTGAAAAGTTCAGCTTTCATTCGAAACACTTTCGTTTACCGAGAACTGAAAAGGGCGCCTCAAATTGAGTTTTTGTTTCAAGTGTCCGGATGCTGGTACCGTCCGGATACTTGGCAACATACTGTATACATTACAGCGGACGGAGGCTTTCCCAGTTTAATTTAGGTAAGGCCATGCTTTTGGTGAGTATCCCAGAAATTAAGCATTTTTTCAAGCTCGAGCTAAAAAATAGTGATGATTGAACAAATTCCATTTTTTGTCTCTAGATAGCTTGACCTCTTGTCATTTATGAGGTCATAGCGCGTAGCCATAGAACCCTCATGTCATCAATTTGGTAGCAGGGAGGTTTTGGTATTAAGAACAGCATGCCATTTGTAATGCACTCATTATCAGACAACAATCGTATTTTAAGTACTGTTTAAAAAAATAAGCAGGAGTGTATTATGAGGTTTAAAATCTCGAGGCGAAGCCCAGAGTTTTTACACCGACTGCGAGTTTTTTGAACGGCTTCAAAATCTCTTCTATAGATCAACTCATTTCTTGCACTAATATTTAGATTTGGGCTTATTTTGGTCTAAAAAATTGGACGTAAGGTTTAGACGTCTCTTTATCAGATATAAAATAAGACACTCACTAAACATTAATTTGTTTTGTTTTTGCGTTATGAATTATTAAATGAGTTTTCGAAGTGGGATGAATCAATAGAAGGGATTTTCCCCGGTTAAAAGGAAATAAACTGCCCATGATCAAAAGTTAAGGTGTTCTTACTACCGAAGATATAATAAGTCTTTTTATCTTTTTGAATATGATTCCTGCCAACGTCAATATCGTTCCTGGAGCGTAAATAGAAAGTGTCTGAGTAAAAGGAGGGGTACTTTGGCCATTAAAATTTCACTGGGTATTGATTACATACACGAAATATTTTAAGATACACTGTATATAGGAAACAAAAGTCAACTATCTATCAGTGGGTGTACGTACCAAGGGTTTTTTTCGTACCATAAGCGGGATAAATTCCTTGTACATGATAACGAGGTGATCGCAGCAGGGACGGTGTTAAGAGTGCATTTTTTTGCAAATGATTCGCGCCAACACAAATATTGTTCATGGAGAATTAATAGATGGCTTCTGCGTAAACGAGGTTCCAGCTCTGGCAATCACTATAAATATTGACAAAATAGTACTGCAAGATTTAATAGGTAATGATATTGTACCCAAGTAAAGTAAACTACTAGGCTATTTAGATGCTTCTGCAAATCCCTGATCCACAAATTTTATGATGTTTCTGTCATTTTTTCTCCTGTTCTTTGTTCCGTTTTTCGTTCATGGCGTCGAGTGTCTTTTTTTTTCGCAAATGATTCGTTGCAACACCAATATAGTTCGTGGAGAATTAATAGATGGCTTCTGAGTAAACAACTTGCTCTGGCAGTCACTAAATTTTCAATTGACAAAATTGTACGGCAAGTTTCAATACTGATGATATTGTACCCAAGATATCAAGATATAAAGGGAACAAGTAAACCATTCGACAATCCAGATGCTTCTTCAAATTCATGATCCACAACTGTTATGATGTTTTTGTCATTTTTTCTCCTGTTCTTTGTTCCGTTTTTTGTTCATGAAGTCGAGTGTCTTTTTTTTTCGCAAATGATTCGTTGCAACACCAATATAGTTCGTGGAGAATTAATAGATGGCTTCTGCGTAAACAACTGACAACTGGCTCTGGCAGTCACTAAATTTTCAATTGACAAAATTGTACGGCTAGTTTCAATACTGATGATATTGTACCCAAGATATCAAGATATAAAGGGAACAAGTAAACCATTCGACAATTCAGATGCTTCTTCAAATTCATGATCCACAACTGTTATGATGTTTTTGTCATTTTTTCTCCTGTTCTTTGTTCCGTTTTTCGTTTATGGCGTCTCAAATTCGTCTGTGAGTTCAATTCATAAGGACCCCTGTCACTATTGCAACGTTCATTTGACTTGCCGGTACAGGGACCTGGGCGATGCCGTAAAGTCCTTAGAATCAAAGGTGGAGAGTCTTATTAAACAGAACAACAAATCCTTTGGAATCGGCAATGCGGTTAAGTCTTTAGAGGCAAAGGTGGAGAGTCTTACTGGACTTAACAACAAAACTTCTTGCGTCGGTGAAGCTGTAAAGACCTTAGAAGCAAAGGTTGAAAGCCTTCTTGGAATGAACAACAAGACTTCTGGAATCGCCGATGCGGTCAAGTCTTTGAATGCCACGTTGGAGAGTTTTACTGGACTGAACAACAAGACATATGGCGTCGACGATGTCTTAAAGTCCTTAGAAGTAAAGGTGGAAAATCTTAATGGATTGAACAACAAGACTTCTGGCATCAGCAAAACCGTGAAAGCTTTGGAATCAAAGATTGAGAGTCTCAGTGAACTGCGCAATAAGACTTCTCGAATCGGCGATGTGGTCAAGTCCTTAGAAGCAAAGGTTGAGAATCTAATTGCGCTGATTAATCGTACTTCTCTTATTCCACAACCGGCTCTGATACCGACAGGTAATCTAAAAAGAAAACTACTAATAAAATTGTTAATATTTAATCTTCAGCAAATGTCCTTTGGTCTTTGTTATCCTCAACTCAGTTTTAATTCTCGGTTTTAATGCGGTCAGCTGCTGTGTCTTCTTGCAAGGAACAATATACGAAAAAGACAATTATGAGCACATTTTTATTCAAGGATATTATTTTCAGCACAGGCACATAGCTCTTGCATTTGCTGCTTGTTCAGCCGCCTAGCTGAATATCAATGTGATACTTTCTTTCTTCAAACAGCTCATTAAAAACAATCATAACCATAACCAAACATTCATAACAAAAGAATGTTGGGATCATTCTCAGCAGCTGGGCACAGAACCTTATATAAAAACAGTAGCAGGATATAATATACAACACCTTATATATTCCACTGCACCAAAATTACCCTATTTTAGTTGCTGTGTCACTAAATAACGCAATTTAATTAAAATAGCTCATTTCTAAGAGTCCTTCTTACGAACGCCTTCTTTAACACTTAAAAATTGTGTAAAAAGCTTTGTTGTCTTTTGCGTAAGAAGGCTTACATAAGGCTTGTGTAAGATACTTACAGAACGCGTAAGAGTGCTTACACAAGCCTTGTGTAAGATACTTACAGAGGGCTTGGGTAAGAGTCCTTACACAAGGCTTGTGTAAGAGTCCTTACAGAAGGTTTGTGTAAGATACTTACAAAAGGCTTGTAGAGAGTCCTTACAGTATTTACTCAAATGATTTACCTGAAGCCACAACGAATACTTCTGTTGAAATGTTTGCGGATGATACCACAGTTTTTTGTATTGGTAATACTGTTGATGAAGTCTTATCTAAAATTCACGAGGCGATCGCCGACTTAAACAAATGGGCTAAGGATAACTTCATGACTATTCATCCTGCAAAAACCGAATTGATGTTGTTATCTAAATCAAAATTCATCGGGCCCTTACAGAAAATATGTTTAGGGCAAAAGGAGTTGTCCTTTGTTTCTAAATCTAAATGTTTAGGGATTCAAATCGACAATAAACTCTCCTGGTCGCCACATATCAAATCCTTGAGCAAACGTTTTTCAGCAAGAGTGAAGAAACTGAAACACTTAAAAGGTCTCGACAGTCGCATCTTAGAGTCAATTTATTTCAAAGGTATCATTCCAAGTATTACGTATTCAATTGCATTATGGGGATCTTCAAAATCTCTTCAGACCCTGGAGGACATTCACATCGGAGCAGCGAGATTTATTTTTAACATAAAGAATTCTACTCTTAGCACTGAGGTCCTGGCAGCGACAAAATGGAAGTCCTTATCATACATGTACAAAAAGAGGATTGCAACCATATCTTATCAAGCATTTTACAACAGGGCTCCGGCTGGTATAAATTCTCTATTTATTAAACATTCTCCATTAAGAAAACTCAGGGACAGTCTGAAACTATACGTGCGTTGTCCTAAAAGTGACTTCCTCCGATCTTCCTTCTCTCATCGTGCGTCTATTTTATGGAATAACTTACCCATGTACTTAAAGAGCAAACCCAATATTGGTTCTTTTAAATCTGCTCTTAAAGAAAAATCTGACATTTTAGATAAAATAACATTTAATGGGTTACAGGGAATAAATAAAGATATTGTAAATTATATATATTAAGGCATTTTTTTTTTAACTGATTTTTATAAATTTTTTAACTCCACAGTCAATTAACTGTTGTTTATCTCGCTAGGTATTTTTTTATTTTTCTTTACTCATTGTAAATAATTCATTGGTTTGTTAATATTATTATTTACTTTTTTGTAGATACTTTTTAGTTTGTAGGTCCACATCAGCTCTTTAGCTGCCTTTTTTACTGACCTACATGACAAATAAAGTATGTATGTATGTATGTAAGGCTTGTGTTAAGACACTTACAGAAGGCTCGGATACGAGTTCTTACAGAAGGCTTGTGTAAGGGTGCTTACACAAGGCTTGTGTAAGATACTTACAGAAGAGTCCTTACAGAAGGCTTGTGTAAGAGTCCTTACACAAGGCTTGTGTAAGATACTTACAGAAGGCTTGTGTAAGAGTCCGTACAGAAGGCTTTTAAAGAACGCGTAAGAAGGCTTACACAAGGCTTGTGTAAGATACTTACAGAGGGCTTGAATTCGCGGTCTCTTTCAAAAAAAAAAATAAGGACGAATTTAACCTCTTTGAGCGGTGAATCGCGTAGCTAGCAAAGGCAAAATATCCACTAATGTATAAAACGCTCAGCCTGGAAGGGCTGAGGCCCATGTAAGTATGAATGAAGTCTCGTGAACTACTGGTTTTTCTTGTTCTCACAGAGTGATTCTACTACAGAAAAAGCAGAACCATGTTGCAGATATTGGTTTTGTTTCTCATTCCAGGCTTATTTGGTGATGCGGGTAGATAATTTTCCTACATTTTATCTAAGATATTGAGGGGCCAGGGAAGGGGGGTCAAATTTCTCTATAAGTTAAAAATGGGACCATAAACGTGAGATAACCGGCTGAACGAACGTATTTACAGCCAGATGGACATTTTCAACGAGTTTGAAAAAGTTGGGATCTGTCAATAGACCTCGCCCCAGTGAAAAGTCACAGACATAAAGGGTGCGTTGTTGAGGCCTCAAATGTAATAAATGACCCTAAATGTAATAAAGGTCCTAAGTGTAATAACTTTTGGCCCTAAATGTACTAAAGGTCCTAAGTGTAATAAATTTTGACCCTAAATGTAATAAAAGTCCTAAGTGTAATTCTTTCAGCTCTTTATATACTTAGGGTAATAAGAAGATTTCATAGCGTTTAGCCTTATTACGGGTTAACTGAGCGCCAGAATGCGTCTAGGGAATATCAAACACTAAATACCCCAGGCAGATTCCCTATATAGCCATTTGAGTAACAACTTATTATTCAGTTATTGATATCATTATCACTGTTATTTTTGTTGTCATTATTAACTGAAAAGAATGTTTAATCGAAGTGAATTGTAAATAGTCCTTTGACCGAATAGTAATTAATTGTAAATAGGTTTTAATAGTTAGCATTGTTGTCAATAATACTTCTTTAACGACAACTTGAAAACAGAGGTCCTTGATATGAAGCAAATTTTTTAAGAACTCTTTAATGTCAAAAAAGGACTGACGTATCTCAAAACTTATGTAACAAAACAAAAAAGCCTCGTTGATTATCAGGATTATAGCAAATTTTCCCAAGAAACTGTAACTTCATCCACTGGATTGAACTAAAAAAATCTGTTTCATAGGCAAAGGCAGCCTGTAGTGTAACTATAAAGATATACTGCCCTTAATATCTTGCTGTTTATATATAACTTCGTGTTCACAGCATTCTTTATGGACCGACCGACATACTCTTTTGGAAAATGATAAATAAAAAACATTTCTTTTTTAGCGCAACATTAAAAAACCCCATAGGCAAAAGTATTTAATTTACTACGATTGTTTCTAATGAACATTAATACTTCCTTCAATTACTAAATTACTACTGTATTTTGAAAACTTTTGTGTAGATTCCATCTGTTTATAACTCGCGTTTCACGATGTAGGGATGTAGTAGGAAACACGATCGAGACGTAGTTAATTTATAAGTGTTTCTCCTACTTCTTGAGCGCTCTAGCCGCTTTCTAAGTTAATGGATATCTATGAAGACTACAATAGGGCAAAGAAAGTGAATCGCCAGCTGGCTATAACATTAATATCGCATCAGACCGTCGCATGTTTCAGTCAGGGACCTTATCGAGTTTGGGGCTGTTATACTACATACATGTACACTAGCTGTTAACACTTCCATTATATTTAGGGCTAAAACCTATTACACATATAGTTATACCCTTTATTACCTTTAGGGCCGAAAGTTATTACATTTAGGACCTTTATTACAGTTAGCGCCAAAAATTATTACACTTAGGACCTTTATTACATTTAGGGTCATTTATTACATTTGAGGCCTCAACATGCGTTTTATGGAAGACAACAGAAGGGCTTGTGTATTCAGACAATGACTTGCTTATATTATACAATGGGGAAAACGAAAGTTGTTTTTCTTAATTGTTTTGCTGCAGACAATGCTCTGCTCATACGCGATCCGGTATAGTGTGAACCAAGCCTCGTTTGTCTAGTATATCAGCGGTTATTTGCTAAATCGCAATTTTTTGCTCTTCCTCGTCCAAAAACTGTTTATTATACATATTTCAGGTGCAACCTGTCAGAGAGAGATGCAGTTGCAATTCTGTGAAGACGATTCACTTACACTCTCTTGCGCTCGTTTTTCCAAGAACATCAATATCCTTTCTGCAAACTACGGTCGTTTGACTGGAGCTCAAGTCTGTGGCTGGGGACCAATAAAGACCACTAACTGCAAAGCTAATGGAGCACTTGCCAAAGTTCAAGCTCACTGTCAGGGACGTTCAAATTGCACATTACAGGCAACCAACAGCGAGTTTGGTGATCCCTGCTATGGAACTCACAAATATCTAGAGGTAACAATTTTTCTTAGCCAAAACTTTTCTCCGCCTGGTTTCAAAGGGATCACTTTTCTTCAATTTCTCATTGTCGCCAGGATTCGTAGCTTTGGCAAGTTCATGGATCTTGAAAAAGAAGAAAAAGTCGTAGCCTGAATAGTTTGTGTGGAAGAGAGGAGCAAAAAGGGAAAAATGGGAGAAGGGAGAGAAACTACTGACACAAAAACAACAGGGGCGGGGGTCCATCTTCCCACCCCCTTTACCGTTGTATTTCCAGTTTCCGCTCTTTTTTTTCTTGACTTTCCTGCCACTTCAGCCCTTTTTCTATTGGGAAGTATTAAGCGATGTTGCCTAATTTCCCCCAATTTAATTTCTTCCCCTTCTCTCCCTTTGAGAATCCCCACCTCCACGGTACCCTTCCTTTTTCCGCCCCCCGTATCCCTCCCCTGTATTCTCCCTGGGCTCCCACCTCCCGTCCCCCTCGTCCTCTCCCACATCAGTCTGGAAAAGAAAATTCAACAATGGAAATAAGATGGGTAAATATCTACATCAGACAACTGATTTCTATAGATGTACATGTTACTGGTTATTGAATATGCTATCCTTAACTCGATTTTGATCCCTTTTGGACTGTTGGAATGGGTACAGTTAATAGCTTGATGGCAGCAAGCCTTGATTTGTTTTGTTGATGATATATACTAAACTCATGTCCGCTGAATTCAACAGATTCGCTACGTATGTGAGTGAGAACGCCAAGACTCTGGTTCAGCTGAAAACGGTGGCGTGAGCCGTTAGTAGTGATCGAAAAAGACAACCTT